ATCATAGTTTTTTGGTTAATCTCGCGCAATGTGCATTTAAAGTGTCGCTCAGCATGATTTAGCCGTCATTAATTTGATTGACCTCTCGCCGACCAGGGAATTGTCCCAGAACAACTGCCACCGTTTGCATGATGGCAAGAACCGTGGTTTCGATTTACAACTTCGGCACAACACTGGGGCTGCGACTCTAGTATGCCAAGTGGGGAGTAGAACAAGAGCGTGCGGGCGCTGAGCACACGTAGCCTACGCCACACGCCTACTTTCACTGATAGTTTGTGATCTTATCCTCTACATCCCACGCCGATTGTACTGCGTAGTTGTGGGCCTCCTGAAGATGCAAGGTCAGGTGGATCGGCCCCACAGGAACTCGGATATGAGTGGGTTAGCAAGGTGCGGGCTCCTATACGCTTGATACCAGCGAGCGACGGATTAAATCATCTTCCTTGTAGGTAGCGTGCCAGTTCCCGACGCAACGTATCGACGAGGTTCAGTCGAGATAATGGCATGATTGGTTGGGCTCCTACAGACTGATGGCGTATCTGAAGGGGGTGCCGCCGGGTTGAAACCAAGCTAGCTGGAGTCATGGGGTTCTTGTCTCTCTTCAATCATCGGAGACAACATTGCTATCCACCATGCCAACCGCTGCTCCCATCTGCGCCCCTTCTTTTCCACGATACCCGCGACATCCCCGTCAAAAGGATGGCCGGCACTTGGGAGAAGATCGCAGTGATAATCGCGATAATGGCGAGGTAGATCAACCTTGATGAGCCCGTCGTGATTGGCTAGCAGTGTCGAAAGCATGGTAGATTCAACCATAAAATATCTCTTTGCTTGCGCTTACAATGTTCCATCATCCGGCCAATCAAGGAAGCCCTGAGAATTGTCAAAAAAAAAAAAAAAAAAAGAGGTTTTTGTAACAACCACAACGTATGCATGGACATCATGTGCTTCAAGGGTGGGCGGTGATTGCAATCCTAGTAATGGCCATGAAATACTGTAGTTTCTGGGAAAGGCATCATCAGGGTTGGCTCCTGCAACAGCCTATGATGCAGCATCTGTACTGGCAAGAAACGCGAAGCGCAGATGCAGGCGGGGGCATTGTTAGGAGTGGTCAGGCGGGCAAGCCAGGAGGAGTCCTTAAGTTCATTTGGATGGAAGTTAAGCGTCTCTTTTGGTGTGGGGTGACATCTCGTGATGCCGATTTGTTCAGCAGCTTTGGCTTGTTCCCCCCCCCCGCCACAGAGCCCATGCAGGTGAAAGCCAAACTGGTTTAGCAACTCTTGGCCCAATGGACGACAGGCTCAAGGAGTGTATCGACAGCGAATTACGAGCTGCAGACAGACATCGAATGGCAGCCACCAACTGGTCGAAAAGTGAAGACAGAGAGAAGCTGCAATGTGCAATTTCTCCAAAACCCTTAAGTCGTCAAGGGAATGCTCATGGGAGTCGTGCATGAAGCAAAGGATCAGCCTCTGCAATTCTGCCGCGTATTCTGATGCGATTGACTCCGTAATAGCCGCTAACACTGTCGCTGCTGCCGACCGGAAATGGAACCACTAGATAGTGTGAAGCACGAGATCTTCGCCATCCCTGTCTGATGGCCCCATGCTTGTAGCTTGAAGAGGATGTGTGCAATTGAGGGTACACGAATTACTGACCACCTACATGAGCCGCTTTGCTGCAATAGAGACAAGTTGGCAAGAAGAAGAGACAATGATGAAAGGCCGCAGGTTGATCGATCGAGGGTATCATTGCTCTAAAGGGTTTTGTGATGCTTAGGTCGACCCGCGGCGCAATAGAGTACCGAGGCGGGGATTGGAGTTGTCCATTGCCAAATAACTTTGGTTGTCATGCCAGGTACACCTGGGTCGGAGCGGTCATGAGGGCTATGTCGAAACCCGTCCAAACTAGTCAGTAGGACATACTAGTAGTCTTTACTGTGGGCGGATATGATGTAAGATATGCTCAAAGGTGTTAGAGTCTCTGGCAATTCTTCGAGCCCTGACGACGACAGCATTTGCATGCTAAGATTGGCCAAAGGGAAAGATGGAGAGTAATAACGGATACCAGATTTCCTTTTTTGACGCCACTGCTGGGGTGGTGTTGAATTGGCGATATCTGTACAGTCTGGGGGAGGGAGACCAATAAGAAAGACAATTGCTTTCACCTGCATCTCGCCCCCAACCCTCGTTCACTAATGCAACAGAGACGATCACTTGTCATTGTGATTGTGTGTCTGTAGTTACCAAGAGAGGGGGGATGAGGCAAGAGTGTACGTGAAAGGCTGAGGGTGTTTGATTGGTCGCACACAACATCTGTCTGCTCGAAGTGCGTTGAACGTCCCCAAGACCGTCTCCACCGGTTACCGCCGCCGTAGCATTCGATGGTCGCCTCTTTTCCGAACTGGCACGACTGACCCTCCTGTCCTCAAAGGAGATGCCCCAGTCTACCTTCCAAGAAGTGAGTGGAGCGCGGAGAAGGGGACGGCCGCTGTGGCTATTTTCGCGGACGACGCCAACCCCCACGCGGTTCCATGCCTCACATCATTCGACCAAAGGCTAACTTGATTTCATGATCAGAGACCGATACCTGCCGAGTCTCCATTGTCACCAGCGGCCATCGTGCCAGACAACGAGAATTCTAAGGAGCGGGGAGGAGATGACGCGGAAGATGTAGGGAGACGAGGAATGCTGAGCATGGTAAGGAGAATGATGGTTTTTTTTTTCCCCCCTTTTCTTGCAATCATACGTCCTTCCTTGTCCGTCCATCTATTGATTCGACCGGGGGAAAAATATTCTTTCATATCTAAGGGTCGATCAAGCGAGAAGGAAGCAACCGTCGTCCAGAGGGGCCTGGGCCAGATCACCCTAAGGCGAAGAGCAACCCAAGGAAGGGTGGTCCGTCGGAGGGAGGGTGGCGTTTGAGCAACTCTGAGCTATCATGTTTCCCTTGGGGCAGTTGTGTCATTGAAATGCAGTTGCAATTGCAGCTGCAGCTGCTATTTCGCAAACCTGCCACCTGCTGCAGGTCAAAGTCGCCCTCATCCGATGGTGGCCAGAACCAACGGTTGAGAGTGAGTGGGATTGATGATGGTGGTGTACTACCAGCAACCACGCAAAGCGAACAGAAAGATGTGCATGCTCTGAATCTACTAGTTAAAAAAAAAAAAACACATGACTGTTTTTGAAGGGAGGCCAGGGTCAGGCACGCTAGCATCGTTCGGCGTGGATGTCGATCATGGGTTTGAACGGAGCAGGGAAAAGAAGGAGAAAGTGGAGATTCCGGTATGGAGGAAAAGTAGAGGGGGGTGGGAAAGCCGCGAGAAGCCTACAGCAAAATTGACAAAGAGTAAGGGCCAATGGCGGCATGGCACACTAAGCCGAAACAACCCTAGTGCTTTCGAAATCAGCTAGCTCTTTTGCGTGAGTACACCTCCACTTTTTAGAGACCTACTTGCTCTTACTGGCTCAAAGCCCCATTTCGGTCTGCAGCAGGGACCTACTACCTGTACTCTTGCCTGAGGTATTCTTCAGCTGCATAATTCATTGCATCACTATGCTGGGGGGAGAGAGCTGTGCCTGGAGATACCAGGGGAGAAAGTACCCAGCTCCAGTCTTGAGCCCACACGCCATCAGTATCCACTCTGTGCTGCTTGAAAGGTGCTACCCAATCAGCCGACTGTAAACCTCTCACACCCTCCCGCGTCATTGTCGACTGTTGCCATCTTGGGCTGCTGTCTGTCTGGCTTGGGCTTGTTGCATCAGGACCTCAGCAGATAACGCAACACAGCAGAAAGCACAGACCACCCTCCTCTAGCAAGCATGGACCCTCGACTATGTAACTCTGCAGCCAAGTTTGCTCAGTGAGTACTACTTTGTTCACCCCGCTTCTTCACAGCCATACATTTACATGAACACCCCGTAGCTAGTACAGTCACGCCCTTTGTGCAAATTCCTGCCCAGCGTTCCCCTACTGCACCTGCCCCCCCTTTTCCCCTCCACACTTGCACACAACAGCTGCCTTTGACGCAGAAAATTTTCAGAGAAACTGCTGAATGATCCCCTGCCGCCTCTGTCTAGGCTTTCCACACTCACTCAGGCTGGTTGGCCTTCCCTCCTCCCCCTCTACTGCCCCCCAAATCTCTCATATGCCATCTCGCCCAGTCCATCTCGCTGCCTCCCACGCCCGTCTTCCACCCCTCCTCTTTCCCTGAACATTTTCCTCATTTCCAGTCACACCCCCTCCAGTATTCACACATAAACACACACACCCTCCAACCTTTGCTTCACCCCCCTTCGGTCGGCGCTATCTACTGCAGGGCATGAGAACTGGGGTGGGGCCCTTGCTCAGCCCATCCAGCAGTCCTAGAGCCATCCTTGCTGCTGCCTTTCTGCCCCATCTCCATCTAGCCATCCCCACCCCAAAAGCCTGCACACCAGCGGCCACTTCCTGCCCTTGTGCTTGTGTGTGCATGTTTGTGTGGTGGACGCTGGTTTCTCTTAGTGCACACTCTCTCCCAGGTAGCCTCCTCCACAAATTGTGAGGCCCGTTACTTCCCAAGTGCCCACCTGGGAGGTGTGTAGCGCTAGAGGCCTTGTCTTGGGCGTGCTCATCCACTGGTGGGCAGGCTGTGCTTCGAGGATAGATACATATGAGCCGACCTCTTCCACTCCTCGATCCACCTCTCGTTCTCCCATCATTCGACTTCACTCAACTTCTTCTCCGGCACTTGTTCGTGGCTCACTCTCTTGTCTGTGGCTACCAGTCATACTCTCTACTTAACGACTGCAAACCCGTCCAACTCTTTAAACACCTGCCATCACCCACTACTACTCTTTGATCTCGTCCACCATCCACCAACTACCTGCCTCGTCTACACCAACACACAACAGTTGACTCGACTCGTCTACACCAACACACAACAGTTGACTCGACTCGCTTCGATTCAACAACCAATCTACACTTCCAAACCAACTCTCAACTACACACATCCAGCAATCATGTCTGCCTTTGATCTCTGGACTCCCGAGTTCTGCCTCGGCTGCGACAAGCAGACCGACGGTACTGCCTACTGCTCCGAGTCCTGCCGCCTGGCCGACTTCGAAAAGACTTCTTCACCCAGCTCTGTTGCGAGCTCCCCCGGCTTGAACGCTCCTTCGTACCCTTGGACTAGCCCGAGGCAACAACCGTCGAACAAGCTCTACCTCGCTCCTGCCTACGACTTCACCAACGCTCAGCCCTACGGGTCTACCCCCCTCAGACAATCCTACCTCTCTGCCCCGAGGACATCATCAACCCGTCGTACCCTCGCAACTTCGAGTTCCAACACCAGTCTTTGCTCGATGCAGAGCACCACCTCTTCAAACTCGGATGCTAGCCAGCTGTCGGAAAAGGCAAGGAGGGAACTCCAGGCTTACGCCGTCTCTTTCGAACAAGTCCGCCTTCAGCGCCGCCGCTCTTACTAAACCACACAAACACAAAAAACACGCAACATTTACTTTTCTTTGGCTCGATACACTGTCCAATATACCCTTAGTCGTTCAACGACACGTTTTCAACATAGCACGCAACTCATTTTTCAACTCGATACACCATTAACACACCGACTCTTACCTCTTTTCTCTTTTATTGATTCAACTGTTGTAACAAAAATGGGCATTACATCGGAGTACTGCATTATAAAAAAAAGTTAGGGTCAATTACGGGGAGTAACTTGGCTTTCGCAGAACAGCTGCTTCAACCGCATGACGGCGCAACAATATGGGCTATTGGGATTGTACTACGACACGGGGCTTATTTCACATCAATGCTGCTCACAAGCATGGAAACGGGGGAACCAAGAGAATCCCCTGAGGCTTCACCGCATTTACGAAATGGGGAAATCTTATTTGACTTTTCACAAGGAGCTGGTCATCATTCAGTGGAATGGCTTGGACTTGAAGGAAAGATGACGGCGTTGGGGAAAAGACCCTGACTTTCAGATGGAACATTCAGGGACATGGCCCTCCCGAGGGGGCTTGGACTGGCACAAGGGATGGGTGAATCATACAAGGCATCAACAATTTGACGGAATTACTGGGCACTAAGGAGGCATAGGTTCCAAGGGAATGGGAAACTAGCACAGGAACACGTCAGATTGAGAAAAAAAAAATTACACAATACCAGCTCAAACACTATCTGATGAAATTTTTGCTGCCTGTGATATTTTTTTTTTTTTTGGGCGACAATGACTCTAACGCCAGCGCAATTCGCATCCACTTTCTGGAGCCTTCACGACGGAGCCGTGGATCCACGGGAAAAGGCGTCATAGTGCCGGGAAGTCGATATTCTCCATGCTTCAAGGCCCCTGCGGACAAGCCAGCCAGGGGGGGGAGGGCACGGGGGTTCAGGGAGAACAGCCAGAGGGGGGAAGAAAAAAAAAGAAAATAGCATAGAGGCCCATCCCCAGGATTGGGCCCACTAATATTTTCGGAAGCAGCCAAACATGCCACAGGGCCGGACGGGGACGGACACAACGCACAAGTCGGGAACAAACAATGGGGGCTTTGGGGGCGGCTGATGGACACGAATTCCTTGTTGCAGACTTTGACAACGGCTCTTTTGCCCACGTTGCCAACGTGCAGCCCCTAGAAAGGCAAGAAATCAACCAAGGGTCCCAATCAAGGAATTACAAGGGGGCAAGAAGAAAAAATTGACAGATTGGAAAAAAAGGAGGAAAGGAGAATAAAAACGAAAAAAGTGAGAGATGACGGATCTGCAGGTTCATGGTACCACTGGCAAAGGCGATGCCATCATTATCGTGCACTTTGGATTCCGGACATTAGCGATGATATTTTTTGGCCCTTTTTTTTTTTTTTTTTCCGTCCCCCAATTCCCTTGCTGTCAGTCGCCTTGTCCGTTGCCTTGCTCCCCCCCCCCCACCCTGCTACAGGTGTCCGTAATTGGCTGGCCCCTGCCCCGAGCTGGTGTGCTAAGGTAAGCCAGGTAATGTTAGTCATATTCTGGCACTCTGGCAAGATGGTTAAGGGGTGAAACTCTCTTACTTGCCCACTTCCAGCGTCGGTTTCTCGCTTCCTGATACCTTCTTTGGTGGAGGCCGACGTATGGCGTACAGTTTCGCAATCTCGCAGCAAAATTGAGCAAGCAGGGCAGACAAGATGAGATGCTCTCGCTTTCTCAATTGGGTCTCCATCTCCATGACACCTCTTCCCCATCTGCATTTGGATCTCTCTCTCTTCTCGGATCTTCGGCCGGAGTCGCCCAGCTACCCGAGCCCCGACAAGTCCGATACAAGCCAGCGCACGGCCAAGCTAACGAGAGTGGGCGGGCGGACAGACGAGGAGTCGAGGACCCGTAAACTTGCGCTTTCCTTAGTCGCTTTGCCGCCCACATGACCGCCATGACGTGAGCCGCGAGAGAAAACATGCCATTTCTGTCCCCATCGACCCTATGACGACTATTCTAAGGGACACAGATTTCGGGAACCCTTTGAGATGGACGATCCACCAGGGAACGAGATTAATGGTAACGAGTAACAGGACCCTTCCGAATGAGGGCGTGTACGGACTGGACTCCGCCAAGCGGCCTGAGAGCCTCCCTTTTTTTTTTTCCCACTGATTTTTTATTGTTGTTTTTTGCCCTTTTCTCAGCCTGACTTAAACTGCACATTATCGAACAATGTGCTCCCCACCTCTTCTTTCTCACAAGTAGCCTACCAATCAATAAATGAATGAATGGAGCGATAAGCTACCACTTGCGGTACGAGACGTCTGCTAAGGTGACTCCCAGGGAAGAGGGAGGGGGAAAGAAAGGAGAAGCATTGGGCAATCTGTAAATTGGCTACGGCCAGGCGCTAAAACGGAAGATGAGCAGATCATCGTCGACGGGCTCCTCATCTCGGCCTACGCTTCAACGATGGCCTCGTACGGCCGCACTCGCACTGCCCCCTCTCTTGCCTCTCCACACCCTCGACGACGCCTCCGATGCCCGGCGTCGTCTCCTTGGGTTGGGGACGAGAACGATTGATTTTGTGGGAGGGCCAAAGGAGCTCGGTCTGGGTCTCTTCTGGCCTCAGCTGTCTGAGTTATTGATTCGTGACAGGGTTTTGGGGTCTGAATTTGGATCTGGACCGAAATCCATGGGCGTCGATGGCGGCCCGAGAACGCTAAGGTAATCACGACATTTGCACCCCAATTCACACATTCAACTTATGCTCGACCTTTTTGACACATAGCATCCACAGCGGTTCGAGGCAGCCGCTACTGGCAAGCGCTGGTAGGTAATTTTTTCCCCTTTCCAATGGGACGATGGGTGGGTGTGTGCCCCTCAGATGCTTCATGGAGGGGCGTGGCGGCCCGGTGGAAGTGACTGTGGTGGTGGTGGTATCGGTGGTGTCGCAGCCCCCTCCTGGTTTGTGAGGTGTGCCCTGTGGCACAGTGGCCTTTCAGGCGTCTCGCCTGCTGTAGCTGGCCGGATTGGGGACGCCTAAAGGACGCCTCGATACGGAAGCGCGGAGGAGAAGAGAGAGCATGGCGCCTTTTCGTCTCCCCCAAATCACCCCCAGCCCCAAAAACCACCTCAGTTCGCTACAGGTGTGCCATCACTCGGAAAAGCCCGCACCTCTGATTTTCAGCAACCGAGATGCCGTTCCACAACTTTTGTCATGCTCACGTTGTGACAAGAGCCTCACAGTCAGCGCCGAGCCTCTTGGCCTCGCCTCACAGGTTGCCTCCCTATGCACTCGCTACCAACGCTACATGTTATTTTTTTTTTTTATACTTTTCCGTTTTTCACTGCTTGCATGTTTTTCTCTTTTTGGGTAGAGAACATAATCTTGCCGAACAAGCCAATAATGCCTCACTTATTTGCCACGCCAACGAGTTAGGAAGTCATGCAAACGTATTATACCCCAATTCTGCGGAGTTGTGTTTATGTTCCCGCCCCTACATTACACAGCAACCAATGATGAGTTGCTTTCCTCTTTGGACCGAATGCATTGGCATCGGCTTTGACAACGGTGTTGGCAGCATTTGATACGACCAGAGTTCTCCTCGGACCTGTAAAACACACTACAACTTTTCCATTTTTCTTAGTATAACATGGATGGAAGCACGTATTCGGAGTAGAGGGGGGTGTGTTCACAGCAATTAGGAAGGGCCAAAAAAAATGAGGAGAAACCTCACTTTCGGGGCGTTCAATTTCCCTCCACAGTCAAGTTTCGTCAAACAAGCCAGGTTGCGTTTTGATCCCTTCCTTCTCGGCTTAAGGCATGGCTGTTTAGGACATTGAGAAAGAAATGGAGATGAAAATTTTTTCTGTTACTCTCTCTCATGTCGCTTGGGTCAATCTACTTTCGTGTCTCGTCGTCCCTACAAGGAACGTGGTACGCTGCAACGCATCGATCGATCTATGAGCCGGCCTCTGTGCGCCCGGTCTTGGTCTTGGGGGGGTTTGTTGCTACTGGGTCGTCTGTTCCCAATTGCCAATGTTCCGCTCTGGGCTCTAGGTTGCTTTTCTCTGCTGTCTGTCGTTCCTGTTTTACTTGGGTGAGTCCGTTTCGCAGACATGTATCAAGAGACAATAACAACAACAAAAAAAACAAACTTTTCTCTCACGGCGGCCCGTCTTAGGAGGGGTTTTTTTTTTTCCGCTACGAAAAGGTACGGCTCGCTCCCCAACAACAACGGGTAGACAAGGCACAACCACCTACACACAATTGTACCACCATTTCACTTCACTCCCTGGGAGACTTCCATTGGCCTGACGCCTGCGTCGTCGTTGGGACATCTTAGAGTGCCGAAATCGTTCGAGAACAAGCTTCTGGGTCGGACCATTGTGCTACAACCATTCCGGGCTGCCGCCTCGTTCCTCCCTTTTTGGTGATAAGCCCTGTAGAGCCATTGGTTTCAGCCCATCCCCTCTTGTCACGCACTTTTTGCCTCGTTGTTGTGCGTTGTTTTTACACATTTACGAGGTAAATATGCCTCTCTCTCTTTTTTTCACCCTCTCTCTCCAATGGGCTGGCTGTGCTGGGCTGTCCGATCAAGTCTGCACCTGGACGCATACGGAAAGCGATGGGGACAACGCAACGCCTCCTTTCCGGGAACCACACCACATATCTCAAAAAGTCGTGATGCCACAAAAGCCATCCTCTTCATTGTAACTGGGTTACGCCGACTTGTAACATCAGCACTAGGCATGTTTTTCCCGCGCAACCGCCACAGAGGATTCGGGGGGTGTTGACAGCAGCTCAACTCACGTCCTGCCTTCCAAGCAGGGGCCGTCTCACCCGCGTGCAAGCCTCGTTCAATCAAAAAATGGCTCAACTTCAGATGAGACGAAGGAGCCCTCTCAACTCATGCCGTCGCCGCCGCTGCTCGTATGTACAGATGGGCTCTGCGTAATCGGATAGACACAAGCCTGAAGTCTGAGGGAGAGGAGGAGTACGGTACCTCTCGGCTCTGTCTTGATCGTTCTCACTCTGTCACACACACAAACACACACATACATACTTACATACTTGGACGCACGCCCCCATCGTCAGCCCAGACCCTCGCGTGTTGATGACCCATTGGGCTCCCTTATGCCAGCTCCAGCCGGCAGTATGACGTCGAGACCGCAAACCACATACACGCACACACGCGCACATACTGTACTCCACTGGGGGCCGTACGGGACACGGGTTTCATCTTTTCCATCTGGGCTGATCCAGCGCTCGCGGCGCACGGCATCCCGGTTCCCTGGGAAAGAAACAGAGAGAAGCCTGACGCGGGCCCGTGGGCACGGCACGGCGGTCGGATGCTCTGAAGATTAAACCTTTTCAGCAGAAACGCTGACAGGAACCAAGCCGCGGCACCAGCTCCTTTTGTCACAGTTTTAATTTTTTTCTCTCTCTTTTTTTTTTTTTCAAAAAACTTGTTCGGTCCGTACCCGTACCGGGACGGGCTTACTAAGTGGTAACGACCGAAAAAAAAGAGGGCTCCCTGAGACAAGCTCATGCCGTGGCCTTTCGTGGACCCCTCGTAAGGCCGTCCGTCTATGCTGCAAGGAACATCCTCTGAAAGACAGCCAAAAAAGAACAAGGAAGGGGACAAATGGGTTTACCCGCAAGAACACAGTTTTTTGGAGCCGAGCTCGTTAAGTCGAAACTGCTAAAGGGGGGGTCTACACTATTCAAGGCGGCCAACGGTGCTTTGGCTGGTTGCTATATCTGCATCTCTCTCTGCCTTGATACTTCTCAAGTCCCGGGACGAGATGGACAGGGGTGATATGCAAGGCGGGCGAATCAAACCTTGTTTTCCCTGCCCTG